ATGTCACTATCTAGGAGTCACACGCAGGACACAGCCCAGTCTTCCAAAGTGCCACCCAAGTCTAAAGGAGCTGCTTACATATGAGCCCTTATCAGCAGGCTCTATAGAAATCAAGCTTGAGCCTCAGTGATGGTTAATCACATGGGATAGCAATCTTATTCTAGGTAGCCGGGTAAAGAGAGATTATTTATACCCCTCCTCCAAAACTTTTTTTTTTTTGATAACTTGCCAGAGAAAGATGGGAGGGAGCACCCACTCCCCAATGGGGAATGATCACACAGCTGTCCCATCTCCTCTATTTCTCTATCTTGTCAGGATCCTGGATGCACAGGTATCTACGTTCAACATATTCCTCAAGTTGTCCAGTCAGGACTTGAACCGTGAGGTCGGCCATATGGACTTTGTTCCCTTAGCCGCTAGGCTGCAGAGCCAGCTCTAAACTTTCAAATCATCCTTTAAAGACACAAGAAAGGAGGAGACATGTGAGACAACAGAACACTTCTCTGTCATATATGTATTCCAAACATGGGAACCACCATTCTAATTTCTCCTGAAGGAACAAAGATGACTCCAAGTTAAAAGTGAGGGCCCTTGGGGACCAGCAGGTGGCGTGGCGGTTAAGGTGCTGGACACTCCCACATGCTGACCAAGGTTTGAGTCCTGGACCTGGTGGCTTGCTTTCTCACTCCCCCTCCCTCTCTCTGTGTCTCTCTGGTCAAATTAAAATAAATGAATGAATAAATACAATTATTTTTTTTTTAAAAAGTGAGGGGCCCTGACAGTGGTGCAATGGTGAGATGCAAAGCTCTGTGAGGCTGATCCATATGGGAGGGTTCTGAGTTTGCATCCAGCAACCTCCCTGGATACCCCAGGTGTATGCCCATGATCCAGGGCTGACTGAATCTGGGGATGGAAAGACCCAGTTAGGAGTTCTGTCTGTCTGTGTCCCTCTTTCTTGCTCATGAAAGAAGTGAATATGTAAAAAGATTGTTTTAGTAGCCAACCAGGGGACATGATGGTTAAGGCAGCTGGGTTCCACATGACCAACTGTGCAGTTCAAATCCCAGACCCAGTGGCTTGAAAAACACACCAGGCATGTGTGTGTGCATGCCCAAAATCCTGAGAGGAGGAAAAGGAGGACTGTGGCATGACCATCCCTTCTAGGGGTTGATTTCTCACTGTTTTCTCTCTCTCTGCCTTCTTTCTGTCTCTGGAGACTGACATGCTCTATAACAAATGGAAATAAAAAAGAAAAGATTTTTTAAGAATTAACTTTATTGGGACCAGCAGGTGGCGTGGCAGTCAAGGTGCTGGACGTTCCCACATGGCTTACCACGGTTCAAGTCCTGGACCTGGTGGCTTGCTTTCTCACTTTCTCTCTCTCTCTCTTTGTCTGTCTCTCTCTGATCAAATTAAAATAAATGATTAAAAAGTAAAATTAAATAAATAATTCTTTTAAAAAGAAGAATTAACTTTATTAATTATTATCATTATTTTAATTTGCTACAAAGTACACATACTCAACAGAGAGAGAGAGAAAGTGAGAAAGTAAGCTACCAGGTCCAGGACTCTAACTGCGGCTGCCCATATGTTAGTCCAGCACCTTAACCACCATGCCACCTGCTGGCCCCCCAAGAAAGATTGTTTTAAAAAGTGAGATTGGTATTTTAAAATGAATTAAACCAAATCTTTAACAGTCTGAGACTTTTAATAACTGACTTTTAATAATGACTGAAAAGTTGGAGAATAGGACTGGGCTATAATTAAAGAAGTCTTTTAACCCAATGTGAAGTTGTGGTGGGGAGGTGATTTTAAAAAGCACTATGGACATGGCTGTTGGAAAAATAAAAGTGCTTCATGATTTTACCTCAACCTTCAATCAAACTCATCAGGTTGGTGTTCCATCAGAGGAAGCTTATTTTTGCTGAAATCTGTATATGTGTTGTTGTGATATAGCTCACGTGTATTTAGACGAAGTGCACCCTATTGGACTATGGTTATTGTCCTATTTTCCTCTTGTTATACTCTCCTGAGGGAATGCTTAGCTTGGGAGAAGGTAGTCTGAGCCTTGGTGGGCTCTGTGCATATCTCTGTTCCTACCTAGAATAGCTATCTAAATGTCTTCCAAGTGTTCCATTGCTGTGCTATCTTCCATATGTTCCATTGCTGTTATTGTGGTTTTCTCTTTTTTCTCTAAATCTAAACACTTGTGACAAATTGAAACTAGAATTAAGAATAAAGGAATTGCAGCATGGCC